AGATTTTTACCGACATTAGGTACATTTAAATTTTCAAAGTTTCAATTTCATTCATGGTATTCTTGACACCTTAGTGAACTTTAAATGGCTGTTTCCGATTTTTGATTTACCGTATTCACTATAGATTTTTTTTTACTTAACTTTTAATACCGCCGTAATTAAATAATGTACCTTTATTTTATCTTTTTTTTTTTTCAATAAAAATCAATCAGTAATCTGAACGGAAGTCAAGGTTGGCTCTACGTTTGAAATTATTGAGTAAGAGCCTATCGTCGAAAATTTATCAATTTTTAACCCTGGGTCCTATAATATATGTATATTTGAAGATTCCTATTATATCTCTAGACCATTTAACTGTTATTTAACCCAACTTTCGATTTCTTACAGGTACAAGTTGATTTTATTGAATTTGTTCTTTTTTAAACAGAAGCTGGCCATTTTTATCGATTCAATTTTTTAATCAATAATTTTCTATTAATTTTCTGGAAACCTAAATCCTTGATATTTTTATTTCAAATTAATGATATGGCCAGCAACTGTTAGTGAATTTATATGGCAAGTATATTGAGGTACATTGTAGTATCATCTTTCTTTTTGAATTTGATGAGACTGATTAAAAGTTATCCTTTTTTATCAATTTTATTTAAAGTGTTTCACCAGTAATTGATTTTATGTTATGAAATTATTCAACACTTGTTGTTTTATTGGTTTACCTGTGTTAAGAGTTGGTTGAGTTGTGCATTATTTATTTCCTTTTCAGAATTGCCAATTACTGTTTGCTGAATATTTTTTAAGTGTGTTTCTGAATTTTCACCCTTCCATATGCAATTTCATATATTTATTTTTTTTAATTCAGTGTCGCCCTTGCCATCCTGTACTTATCAAACTATCAACCCAACCCTAATAATTTTTCGCTGAGCAAACCGAGCATATTATGGGGCTTTTGTTAATAATTCATTAACAAAAGGGGTTACAAGACATGCATCATTGTCTGCAACATTCCAATAAATTTTATGCGTTTGATCTAGCGTCCAATTGTGAGAGATATGCTATTCAGGGGCGGCATCGATTTGATTATTTCATTAATAGTTTATATATTATATATTTTAATAAATATTTTTTTTTTAGTTTAAAAGCAATTTTAAAACTTAATTTATATCTATAAAAGCCTTGAAATATTTAATTTAATTTTTTTTTTTTTGTGATACGGAAACTAATTAAAATGAAAAAAAGATGTAGCACGCCTATGGATTAGAGTTGAGAGTTCTCTGGATCTGGACACACATATTCTTCGAAACAAAATCAACAATTTAAGGTACAGAAATCACTTCTTTTATGAAAATCGCCACGTCAGTGAATTTTTAAGCACAAGCCACCATACCATCAATATTTTAGGCACTTAACTCTGTTTATGTCAGTATTACCAAGGTTTCAATAATGAATAATGTATATCTATAGCTTAGAAGACTAAGACAAACACTCATTTTTACTTACACAAAACTATGCAGAACTAAAGCTAAAGCTAAAGTAGGTTACAGTTAAAAACATCAATAAAACAATCATGGTAATATAAAGCAAAAGACAAATTTATATAAATATAGACAAACAGTACCTATCCAGCGAGGTTATACTCTTCCTTCCAAAAATGAATCAATACTATAATAACAGTTTTCGTGAAGATGCTTTTTCAAATTATTTTTAAAAATGTTAACATCAGGACTATTTTTTATTTCGTTAGAAAGTTTATTAAATAGTTAAATAGTTTTGGCCCGAAATTAGTGACAAAAAAGCTAGGATTTATTTAATCTATTTTTGGTCAGTAAGAAATTGTTGTCGAAACGAGTATTATAGTTATGAAGATCCTTGTTCCTGAGAAACTGATCTTGATTTTCATATACATATAAACACATCTGATATATGACAATAGATGGAAGTGTCAAAATCTTGTATTTTTTAAAATATAGAACGCACGAAGTTAATTGCGAAACTCCTGCAATGCATCTTATCACCCTCTTTCGAGCTTTAAAAACTCTTTCAGCATGAGGTGAAATTCCCCAGAACTGAGCGCCGTACATAAGGCGGGATTGGACAAGAGAGTGATATACACAAATAAGTTGAGATTCGTTTAGGACCGTTTTTAGGTTCCGGAGAGCGAATCAAGAGGTACTTAACTTCTTACACAGTTTCGCATTGCTCCCCCCAGGAAAGAACTTCATCTACCTCAATACCCAGAAATTTTACAGAATTTTCTCTCTTTAAGTCATTGTTTGCATATGACAAGCCTAAATCCAAATTGTCTTTCGATTGTGACGTACGAAATATCATATAATGTGTTTTATTAAAATTTAAGAATAGTTTATTATCAGTGAACCAATCCATTAGTTCCTTTAGAGCTTTATCTGCAGCAACCCTGGCGCTTACTTCCTGGTTTAGTCGGACAATGCTGGAATTGTCATCAGCAAATGCCCTTATACTGTTATGAATCACTTCGAGGGAGAGAGGATTAACAAAGACAATAAAAAGAACAGGACCCAGATTGGATCCCTGAGGAATACCTATGTCAACGTTCAGAGGATGTGATCGAGCTTTTTTACCGGATTTATCTCCAATCTCCTCAAATTGCTTGCGGTTCCTCAAAAAAGAGGCGAACCAATCGAGTATGACTCCCTCAATGCCATAAGACTTCATTCGATCAAGCAAAAGCCCGTGATTAACGCAGTCAAATGCCCTGCTGAGATCGCAAAAAATCCCAACAGGACGCTCGCCAGCCTCAAGATCATCAATCACTTCACTCAAAAGAGCCAAAATGGCTGTCATAGTTGACCGACCTGTCAAAAACCCATGCTGTCGGGGAGACAAAATGTTACTCTCAGCCAAAAAACAGAGTAGTCTCCTGAGAATTGCATACTCGAAAACCTTGGAAAAACACGAGGTAAGCGCTACTGGACGATAGTTATCAGGAAGTAAGGGGTCCCCCTTTTTGAAGATAGGGTTTATTTTAGCATTCTTCAAGCAAGATGGGAATATGCCAGTCCTTAAGGATTCATTAATCAGATAGGTTAGAGGCTTTATGCAGGAAGCAGTCATAACTTGCTTAAAGATATGCGCTGGAATCTCGTCCGGGCCTGACGATTTTATATTTTTAATCTTGGGCGTTAAAATTTCAATGATCTCGTGCTCGCTAAAAGGCGGCACAGACATCCTGGATTCACACTCAGAAGTTAAAACACGAGTCAGCGAACTTCCTGGTACCGGCAGACTATTAAGTATACTGGTGGGAGCATCGACAAAAAATTGGTTAAAATAATTGGCAACTTTATTTGGTTCGTCTATAATGTTACCGCTATGGTTTTTCAATTTTATGGTTTGATAATTTTCATCAGTATGTTGACCCTTAGAAATTTCAGAAACCACTGACCAAACGGTTTTTGAATGATTTTCCGATTGATGATTTTTTCTCTGATAGTACTGCCTTTTAGTATTACTAACCAGATTCTTATGCTTCAATTTTTCCTTCTTATATACAACATCCAGCTCTGGATACGTTCTGGTGCGTCTATATAATAGTTTCAATGCCTTGCTGGATTCTCTAACCTCGTGGGTAATCCAAGCATTATTTGGCTCCCTTTGGTATTTAATTTTCAGGGGAAAAATACTATAGAAATGATTTAGTGTGGTATTGTAAAAATAATCAAACTTTTCATCACTATTTGTTATTGTATAAATTTCGGACCAATCCTGACTATTAAGTTCAGAAATAATAGAGTTAACGTTATCAGTATTATAGGACCTACTGAAAAAATCCTTGGTTTCGGTTTATTGCCCAAAACTCCTGTAGTAAACAAAACTGTTTCATGATCAGAAAGTGGATTGTTTTCCGCTACAGCTTCAGAACATTGTGAAAGGTTTGCATAAATTAGGTCTAAGATACTTTTACAAGTAAGAGAAATACGGGTTGGAACATGAACCTTATTTTTAAAATTAAAGTATAACATTAGATTGTTTCAAAGATCATTCTCTAATTTAGAAAGAGAACTTCGATTAAAATCTCCCAAAACTACTACCTGAGAGTTTGTTTTATGAAGATCTTCCAGTAAAGCCTCCATTTTGTCGTGAAAAATGTCAAAAGCTGCATTTGGTGATCGATAGCACAATATAAATATCACAAATTTCTTCTGACCATAATGCCACCGAATTGCGCATACTTCAATGTTTTTTTCCATACAATAGGACATCACAGTGTGTATCTGGTCTGCAGTATATTGCAACACCTCCTCTATCCGAGATTTTTCTCGAAAAATACGTCCTGAGCACAAAACCAGGAATTGTCAAATTTTTATCACCTGATTGCTTGGACCAGGTCTCGGTTAGGAACAGAAATCTCATTTTTACATGTTCGTAATTTAATTTTAAAAAGTTCGCTTTTTCAGTGGTCAATCCCTGAATATTTAGAAGGACACTGTCAAATGATGCAACAGATGAAACAACATCAGATTCGGTTAAATCTACATCCGTGGATATTTTGTCATTCGAGGGTGAAAAAAACGATTGACACATGTCCCTCTCGGCCAAAGAGTAGTAGTAAGAGCTGCATCTAGTTTGCATTCACTTACTATCACTTTAAACGACGAATAATACGTAAGATATTTGGAGTATAATTTTTCTACAATTACTTCCGGAAATATTGGTTTCAAAGACTGTGTTAAATTATCAATAGTTGTTTCTGGATGTAGTTTATAAACATGTAGAAAAGCAAGCTTTAGGGTCTGTTTCAGAGATATTGTACTTGCTGTATTTGCCCCAATAATGGTGTTCTTTTTTGGTCGTCTTTTCCTGTATGTAACCTCTTTAAATGGAGTTGTATCCTTATCAAGCGCGCCTGTTGCATTTTCTATGGCTGATATTACAGCAGCCAGGCTTATAATTGTGTTTACGCGCGGCAATTGCAATGTATTAGATTTTGAATTTGCTTTCGCCGTTGCAGGCGGCACTGATTTAACGTGCATGTTTCTCGGGTACTGTGGGTACTGCCGAGCGCTGCCGGCTGCGGTACCATCATCGTCGTTTCGCCGAATTTTCGAACTGGGTGGGGCCTTGGCACTGCAGCCCTAGGACCGACTGGGGCGTAGCCTCCACTGGCGGTATCCAAAACTGCGTTCGAGGTCGATGGTAGTTGTTTTGGTTCAGTTTGTTTACAATGCTTCGTAACCTCACTTTGAGGTGATAACTTTAAAAGTTTAATTATATAATTGAGGTTTTCTACTAACCTCTCCTCCTCGACAAGCATTTTAGCTGCGGCAATCTCAACCTTTGCTATCCGCAGGTCAGCAGATGAATTTATGCACGTCACCTTATCACATTTAATATGATCGTCACTATCAAAGAAGTTCTTTTCGTCGGTATTTAAATGACTTTCCACATATTCCCAAAGATCTTCACTAACTACACTACCATCCGGTATCTTTTGATGTATAATTATAAAAATCAACTTATCTTTTGTTAATTTATTTAACTCATTGGTAAATTGCGTGACATCAGTATTGACCGCCATATTGCACATACACAAAACTGACCAACCAGGATTCTTTATTAAAAAACTATTTTCCTTGTTTTTGACAATTTTTTTGCTTCTGTTTCTAATTATTTGACTAATATAATTAGAAAATTGCTAAATGAAATAATTGATTTTGCAAAAATGACAACTAGTAAATATATGTACAATTTAAATTCAATTTTTGCCATTTTTACGACCTAACTGTTTCCATTTCCATTTTAAACAGAACTTTACATCGTTAATGTAATATAAACAACCAAAAAGGTTTCCCGAGGGCATATCAAAGTTAATTTAGGGAATAATTTTGTCGGCAGGACGACGATAAATGAGACAAAAAAACCAATCGGAATATGGGCTATTGTTTCAAAGGCAAATCTGTATTTTTTGTCGAATAAAGCTGAAAGGCTATTTTGTATTAAATTGAAATGTTACGTGTATTGGAAATAATCTATTTTTTAATTAAAAGTTTACGTATTGAAAAAAATGGAAATTAAATAGTAAGTTGTTCAAAACAAAACAGTATAGAGACTCAAATGCACGAGTCCCACTATTGTTTGATTCTACCTACAGGGTGACACTTTAAAAACATACAATGGCTATATCTGAGGAACCAAAAAAAATTAAAAATGAAAAATTGCTGAAAACAATTTTCATGATAGGGTAATTATTCATATATTTTTTTTTTGGTTCCTTAGATATAGCCATTGTAAGTTTTCAAAGTGTCGGCCTGTATATACAAGACAAAAAGAACTGAGCGAGGTTCCCAGAATAGAAGGGATGCAAAAGGCATCAGACAACTAAAGAACAATAAGTCAGCCGGTACTAACGGCGTTCCTGCTCAATTTTTTAATCAAGGAGGCCCCACACTTAGTGCCTAAACCCAGATCCTGATAAGTGACAAATTATGGATTACTGAGACCATGCCTGCCGAATGGGTACAATGTACAGCTGACATGGTTTTGAGTGCCAGACAAATGCAAGAGAAATACAGAGAACAAAATCGCCGTCTATACATGGCCTTCATAGATTTAGTGAAAGCATTTGATTCGGTCTACAGAGAAACTCTTTGGAAAATATTGGTAAAGGTTTGGTGTCCGCAAAAGTACATCCAGATTGCTGGTGCATGAAAGTATAAATGCAATCGTCCTAAGCACCGATGGACAAGGAGAGTCTTTCCAAATAACTACAGGTGTTAAACAGGGCTGTGTTATTGCCCCCACTTTATTTTCTCTATTTATAGGATCCATACTTCACCTTGTCGAGGGTCACCTGCCGTCAGGAGTAGACATCCTGCACAAATTTGATGGCGGCTTATTCAACCTAAATAGATTACGAGCCAAGACGACATCGATAATTGAACTTCAATATGCGGATGATAACGTTGTGATGACCAATACAGAGGAAGATATTCAGGAAAATATTAACGCATTCAACCAGGCATACAAGAGAATCGGCCTAGAGGTCAACTTGAACAAGATGCAGATTCTGCACCAACCCACATCGGGCAATTATTCCCAAGTACAAGTTTAGCCTCGACCTTCGTAATTTTATTCAGCGAGATATCTTTGACCACTGCTAGACTTGCCAAATAATAACTTTGGTCTTCAATCAATCTTCGTAGAATCTATTTATGGTCACCCTGGACCGAACCCTCACTTGGAACAAACAGTTAGAGAAAACATGCTCTCGAGCTACATCAGCCATTTGGTCATGCCGAAAACTTGTTGGCAAAACATGGGGGCTAAAGCCAAAGATGGTATTCTGGATCTACCAAACTATAATAAAGCCCATGGTCACATACGCCTCATTGGTGTGGTGGCCCAAAACCCCACAAATCACCGCTCAGATCAAGCTAAGAAAGGTGCAAAGGCTGATATGTCTGGGAATAACGGGAGCAATGTCAACTTGCCCCACCGCAGCCCTAGAGACGCTACTCAACATGTCCCCACTTCACCTATGTGTGAAAAAGGAGGCAATAACCAGCGCTCACAGGCTATTCCAAATAGACAAGTTCCAGCCTGGCGATCTGAGGGGACATCTGAGAATCCTTGATCTAATAAAACTGGAGAATGCCAGCAAACCAAGTGACTACAAGATGGTCAGATTGGACTTAGAGGTCCCCTTCGCAGTGGTAATAAACGACCGCCAATTATGGGAGAATAAAGAATTGCCACAAGCAGACAATGCATCTCTGAGGTACACAGATGGATCCAAGCTAATGGAAGGAGCTGGACTGGGCATTTCCGGCCTTAACTTCAAGCTGTCCAAGGCATTGGGTAAACATCTTACAATATTTCAAGCCGAACTGCTTGCCATAGATATATGTGCACAAAAGTGTCTTAACCAAAGCCTCAAAAGAAAACACATCTTTTTTTTTTTTTTTTTTACGGATATGCGCACTCGCAAGGAAATGTCCTATCACGCTCGAGAAGCGGCAAGTGCGCGGAAATGTCGGTGTATGTTGGTCTTGAAACGGTTCAGGTTGTAACCTGCAGGGAAAACTGTCGCAGGGAGTTTATTCCACAGCGATGCTGTTCTCCAGAGATATGAATTCTGATATAATGAGGTTCTTGGTGCCTCTAGTTCGACAGTAAATTCATGGTTACCGTCTGTTTGACGGGTTCGCCTGGTTGGTGCTACTCTCGGTGCAATCATACGTGCCAACTCTTCAGAGCATTTTCCGTGATAGTACCTGTAGAAGAGAGATAAATCGCCCACAGATCTGCGATGTTCGAGACCATCCAAGTTACGAGTAAGTGCGGGGTCATTGATCAGCTTGATAGCTCGTTTTTGCACGGTATTCAAAAGCATTAAGGTATGTTTGGGTGCTGCACTCCATATATGTGAGCAGTACTCCATAGTTGGTCGAATCTGGGCTTTGTAGAGTGTCAGCAATTGGCTTGGTGTGTACAGATGTCTTGTACGAAATAGCACCCCCAGCTTTTGGGAGGCCCTTTTAGCAATATCTGCCACGTGACTGTGCCAAGACATGTTGGTCTCTGCAGTAACCCCCGAGATGTTAAACTGACTCTGTAATGTGACAGCACTTCAGATAGCATGATGTTTGGCTCACCGGTGCTGGTCTTTTTTGAAAACAGAGCTGCTTGGGTTTTCTGCGCGTTGAACTGTACAAGGTTTTTGTGTGCGGAAAGACCTGTGGGTGGTATGAGTGAGGAGACTACATTGCCATCGTCTGCAAAGCAATAAAGTGGATTTACTGTTTTATCTATGAGGTCATTTATGTAAATCAGGAAAAGAGTTGGCGAAAGGATTGCTCCCTGTGGCACACCAGCATTTACTTGGTAAGAGTTGGAGTTCTGGCCATCCAGTGCAACATAAATGGATCTGTCCTTTAGGTAACTTTCAAACCAAGTGCAAAGTTTCGGCGATAATCCCATTGCTTTGAGCTTGTTGAGCAGATTTTCATGCCAAACTTTGTCGAATGCTTTAGATATATCTAAGGCAATTGTTCTTGTTTCACCCCGCAACTCAATCGCTTTTTGCCATAAGTGAGTGACGTATGTAAGTAAATCGCCAGTTGACCTATATTTTCGAAATCCGTATTGCTTATCGTTGATAATTTTGTACTTTTCCAAGTACTTGGTTAGGTGCTTGTTCACAACTCTTTCCATTACTTTTGATATCACCGGAAGTAGAGCAATTGGTCTATAGTTTAACGGATCTGTCTTTTTTCCTTTCTTTGGAATGGGTTGTACTGCGGCAGACTTCCATGATGATGGATATACTCCCTGCCTGTAAGACAAATTGAATAATTTTGCGAAAGTTGGGGTGAGTTCGTTGGCGCAATTTTTGAGTACTATTGCGGGAATGCCATCCTCATATCTTCATACTATCGGACAGCCAAGCTGCCTTAAAAGCCTTAAGGGCTTTCAAATGCACGTCAAAACTAGTTTGGGAGTGTAAACAGACCCTAAAAACACTAGCGACACATAACCAGGTAACGCTGATGTGGCTGCCTGGTCATCAAGGCATAGAAGGAAACGAAAAAACAGATGGCCTCGCAAAGGAAGGGGCCTCAACACCATAACATGGACCAGAGCCATACTGTGGTTTAATGAAAAGCCACATCATGGAAGAACTCAATAAATGGGAGAAAGACCAACTGTCATCATATTCGAGGCACACACCGGGACTCACACAGTCAAAAAGGTTCATTACCCTTTCAGAAAAAAGAGCTGAACAGCTCCTAAACATGAGCAGACCAGACATCAGATTGGTGGTGGGACTGCTCACAGGACACTGCCCAGTAAAATACCATTTAAGGTTAATGGGCAGAGCGGAAGACGATCTCTGCAGATTCTGCTCAGAAGCAATAGAGACCGCAGAGCACCTGCTCTGCGAATGTCCAGCCCAATTCTGCAAGAGGCTCAAATTCCTCGAGGGGGCAACACTGTCACCAGAAGAAGTGGGGCAACACTGTCACCAGAAGAATTGGACCAACTGACACCCAGGAAAATCGCTTCCTTCGGCAGAAGTCTACGCCTCCTGGAGACAAATTAAGATGTAGAGTCACGCACAAAATATCTGCAAAGGCAGCAGTGCTGAGCGGCTGAAAAGCCGAAACGACTCCCTCGAAATCTACAATCTACAATCTATTTATAGCCCGTGCCTACAACTACTTTCCCAGTCTGTGTCATGAGAGTCCATCAAGGCGGATAGTTACCATGCAGTCTTGCCAGATATACCATTTTCGCTGACAGCACCTAATATTCTTTTCAGGATGTCATGGTGTTCCTTTGTGAGAATCGTGAGAAATAAAAATAAAACTTATTTTAACATTGTTTGTTAGAGTCCCCAACAGGGTGGCCCTTATGGTCCGATGCTTGGACCTTTACTCTTTCTGTTAGAAAGGATTGTCGTTATGTATGGAAACGGTATTGCAGATAACCTACTATTTTCAAATGGAACCCCCAACCCCCATTTCTTGTTATTACAATCGATTCAGCGTAACAAAGATTACTATAAATGACCTTTCA